GAGGTCCTAGGACTGATAGACAACTTAAAAAGTGATAAATCACCAGGCCTGGATGGCATAGATCCGAGAGTTCTGAAAGAACTTAAATGTGAACTTGTGAATCTCCTGACAAAAATATGTAATCTTTCCTTAAAATCTGCCTCCATTCTTGAGGACTGGAAGGTAGCTAACATCACTCCCATCTTTAAAAAGGATTTCAGAGGAGATCCGTGAAATTACAGGCCAGTCAGTCTGACCGATACCGGGTAAGTTGGTGGAAACTATTATTAAGGAAAGAATTAATAGGCACATAGATGAACAAAAACTATTGAGGAAGACTCAGCATGGGTTCTGTAAGGGAAGATCTTGTCTCACTAACCTTAACCTGTTAGTGTTCTTTGAGGGGGTGAACAAACATGTGGACAAGGGGGACCCAATAGATGTTGTTTATGACTTCCAGAAGGCTTTGATAAAGTTCCTCATCAAAGGCTCCTAAGTAAGCTCAATAGTCACGGGATAAAAGGACAAGTCCTTTTGTGGATCAAAAACTGCCTGATTAATAGGAAACAGAGAGTGAGTATAAATGGGCAGTTTTCTCAGTGGAGGGTGGTAAGCAGTGGGGTACCGCAGGGATCAGTACTCGGTCCGATGCTTTTTAACTTGTTTATTAATGATTTGGAGTTGGGAGTAAGCGGTGAAGTGGCTAAATTTGCAGATAACACAAAGTTGTTCAGAGTGGTGACAACCGGGGAGGATTGTGAGACACTCCAAAGGGATCTGTCAAGGATGGGAGAGTGGGTGTCAACGTGGCAAATGGGGTTCAGTGTGCCCAAGTGCAAAGTGATGCACATTGGAGCAAAAAATCCTAACTATAAATACACATTGATGGGGTCTGAATTGGCAGAGACTGACCAAGAGAGAGATCTTGGAGTCGTAGTAGATAACTCACTAAAAAAGGCCAACGCTATGCTGGGGATTATTAGGAAGGGAATTGAAAACAAATCAGCCAGTATCATAATGCCCCTGTATAAATCGATGGTACGTCCTCATTTGGAGTACTGTGCACAGTTCTGGTCACCACACCTCAAAAAGGATATTATAGCACTAGAAAAAGTGCAGAAAAGGGCAACTAAAGTGATAAAAGGGTTGGAACACTTTCCCTATGAAGAAAGGTTAAAGCGCTTGGGGCTCTTTAGCTTGGAGAAATGACGGCTGAGGGGTGATATGATCAAGGTTTATAAGATTATGCATGGGATAAAGCAGGTCAAGAAAGAATTACTTTTCTCCCTTTCTCACAATACAAGAACTCCTGGGCAGTCCATGAAATTGCTGAGTGGTTGGGTTAGAACAGATAAAAGGAAGTCCTTCTTCACCAAAAGAGTAATTAACACATGGAATTCACCACCACAGGAGGTGGCGGCGGCTACAAGCATGGACAGCTTCAAGAGGGAACTGGATAAACATAAGGAGCAGAGGTCCATCAGTGGCTATTAGCCACAAGGTATAGATAGGAACTCACAGGCTGGGGCAGGTGATGAACTGTATTTTTGGTGCTTGGGGGGGGCAACAGTGGGAGGGCTTCTAGTGTCCTGGCCCCACTGATGGACCTCCTGATGGCACCTGGTATTTTTGGCCACTGTGTGACAGAGAGTTGGACTAGATGGGCCATTGGCCTGATCCAACATTGGCTTCTCTTATGTTCTTATGTACAAATTTGCCCATTCCCATACACTTGGCATTAAAAAGCACTTCAATTGTAATCTTT